TGAGCCTGGTGAAATTTGGGGAGCGCATCGTCTGCACATATGGCCGTCATAGGTGTTCGCTAACAGCACTTGACCAAAAAGTTTGTGAGTTTTGTGTGTCTGGTTTATTGTCTAATCCCCGCACCCCCGTTTCGCAAGGTTGGCTACGTTAGGTGTGAAATAAGTTCAACATCGATACGGAACCTCTAAAGGAAATATACTATCCGTCACAATTCGTTTTGCCCTTCACTCGATAGTATATTGGCCCGTATACCACGAGGACATCGCCCAAAATGTGAAATCTGGCCCTGTGGTTATGCCTCTGCTGTCCAACTCTCAACAACAACAACCTCCGGTGAAAAACCGCTTGCAGTAAAATCATCGGCGGCCGGCAGTCGGAATCCAATTTTTCATTTCCACATTTTTTAGTGCTGGAAAGAGGAGGACACGGTGTGATAGCGATGCAGGAGAGTGGTTACGAGGCGTGGGGATGGGGGCAGGTCATATGCTCCCCCCATCCACCCCTTCGTGTCCAAACAATAACTCTCTCTCTAATGAAATGCAGATATTTAGTTTTTTTGTGTCGGCTGGGGGGAGAGATCTTGTTTGCCAGCGAAAAGACGTTCTCCAGTACAATGCTCTCGGCGGGTGTTCGCGGCCCATTTACGAAAATAAATAGTCGCACGACGACGGATGTTTGGCCAAAACATGTTGTTAGCGTTGTTGTTGCTGCTGCTGCTGCTGTTGTTATTGCAGATGGGAAATGTGAAAAAGTGTCCGGAGCAAGCGAATCCCATTGCTTTGCGGGTGATCTAAAGAGCGACGGTTTTAAACGATGTCACTTTCTGACCTCTCCCTTAAATATACAGTAAATGTTTTCATTTCATTACAAACTTGTCGCGTTAGTCTCACGTTATTTGCTTCCACAACTGCCACATTTATACTGGTAGGAACCACCTGGTTCTACCAGCGCACAGGGGATTATTGTGTCCGTCCGTCCGTCGTGCATCCAAAAATGGGAGGGGTGGGGCTGGCTGAAGAGGGGAGGGTGGGGAGGGGCTGGGTGGGGAGGGGCTGGGTGGGGAGGGGAGGGTGGGGAGGAGCTGGGTGAGGAGGGTGGGGAGGGGAGGGTGGGGAGAGGCTGGTCACCCCGTGGTGCCCTTATAAAACTCAACGTTTAACCTACTCACGCCGGCTTGTGCCCGCCCTCACAGTCGGGCATATTTGCGGAATACACCACGCCGCCGTTGACCCTGGCCATTGACCGAGCAACCCAACGTTCCTACCAGCTCCCTCCGCAGGAATGTGTTTTTTCTTCCACACAGCTGGTGTCAATCATCGGGAAATGTTGGGCCATACTTCACCACGATAGTTCAAGTTCAAAATTCATTTATTAGGTATATAGCCCTGTGAGCCATTCGGCTCTTGAATCGGGTGCAACCGCAACAAACAAAAAAACAAAAACATGAACAAGAAAACATCTGAGAGTGACTATGTGACTACGTGCAAAACAAAAAATCCAAGAAAAGACAGCAAAATATTGCAGAAAAAGCACCGTACACCAACGCTGTGTGCAAAAATCTCAGTGGGATGCAAGTCAAACAACAACAACCACAAGACTACTTAGATTAAGGCCGTCAGTCTAACTCCGTACTGCAACAAACAAGCATGGCCAAACCAAAAAAACTTTTCGAAATCGGTGGAATGTGGTGGTGACGGTGGGTGGGGATCTATTCACACATCACGGCCACTTCTTATGGCAGATATTTATGTAGATTTGAGAGCAACACATTTGTACGTTGAAGGGGTCGAGCCAGATGAGATGATCGATGCCTCCTTCGTATTTGTGGAACTGCCACTCATATTTACCGTGGCTGGGAATCGAACTCAGGTGATGGGTTATTTGTTTGTTTTACATTCACTATGACTATAGTCTCAAAATAATATATTGCTGCGTGTAAGTTATTCAAACCAAATTTAAATACATTTCCAAAATGTACCACCTTTAGGTAATAACTAATCATCGGCCATGATCAATCCACTGCTATATGAAGCCCTCCCCCAAGCCAGCGCCACCTCTAACGATCTTGCAATGCAACAACGATCTTGCAATGCAACAACGATCTCGCAATGCAACAACGATCTTGCAATGTACACCCCGCACACCTTGATGATCACGTATCTGAACTACACAGATACTGCGTAAAATGTAAAGCGTTCAAAATCTCCCTTTAATGGGAACTTTCTGCCTACTCTTCCATGCTGGCTTGTAACCGATGGGAGAACCCACAACCCACCACATGCACCCTGCCGATAAACTTCGGTGTGCCCAATTATACAGCGTGGTGGGCACGCCCTGAACTTGCCTATGACTCGAACTGCCGCGATGGGACATCGAACCGGCGACCTCCAGATGACGAAGGCAGTGTTGCTAACCATTACAGAGTGACGAGATGTTGACTCCCTCGCCTGGTACGCAGGAGGTCGTGGGTTCGATCCCGACCCTGACGCCTGCTGCTGTATATTTGGAGTTTGCGGTGTTTCTCTCTATCTCTGTGCAGGTCGCGTGGATTTTTATCCGGGTCCTCCGATTCCCCCCCCCCCCACCACCTCCCTACCAATTACAATCGACATCACGCGTTTAGAGTGTTTGGATGCCCTAAATGTCCACGTGATAAGCCACTTTGTTGAGCTCTCATTTGTGGCCGGGTCACTTCTGAAACAGAGCTACACAGCTCAGTGGGCCTTACCTGGTAAAATAACAAGTTTAGTTAATAGTTTAACACGTAAGCTTTCACTCCCAATATCATCCATAATAGTTTTTTGGGGTTAGATCCCATAAATGTGTTGTTAAACCCGCCACCACCCGACACAGCCAATTAGTAAGGTTTGTCACGGAAACAAAACATGCCAATTCGTTACTAGTGATATGCGAGGGGAGATGTAGGAGAGTGTGTGGAGAGAATAGAGTGAGAGCGGGGAAAAGTAGGAGAGTGCGTGGAGAGGAGTTGAGTGAGATTAGAGAGGAGAGGCAGGAGAGTGCGTGGAGGGGAGTGGAGTGAGATGAGAGGGAGAGGCAGGAGAGTGCGTGGAGGGGAGTAAAGTGAGATGAGAGAGGCAGGAGAGTGCGTGGAGGGGAGTGGAGTGAGATGAGAGGGGAGAGGCAGGATAATGAGTGGAGGGGAGTAGAGTGAGATGAGAGGGGAGAGGCAGGAGAGTGTGTGGAGGGGAGTAGAGTGAGATGAGAGGGAGAGGCAGGAGAGTGCGTGGAGGGGAGTAAAGTGAGATGAGAGAGGCAGGAGAGTGCGTGGAGGGGAGTGGAGTGAGATGAGAGGGGAGAGGCAGGATAATGAGTGGAGGGGAGTAGAGTGAGATGAGAGGGGAGAGGCAGGAGAGTGTGTGGAGGGGAGTGGAGTGAGATGAGAGGGGAGAGGCAGGAGAGTGTGTGGAGGGGAGTAGAGTGAGATGAGAGGGAGAGGCAGGAGAGTGCGTGGAGGGGAGTAAAGTGAGATGAGAGAGGCAGGAGAATGCGTGGAGGGGAGTGGAGTGAGATGAGAGGGGAGAGGTAGGATAATGAGTGGAGGGGAGTAGAGTGAGATGAGAGGGGAGAGGTAGGAGAGTGTGTGGAGGGGAGTGGAGTGAGATGAGAGGTAGGAGAGTGCGTGGAGGGGCGTAGATTTTTGTGTTTAATTTGTTGTCCTTCCCCTGCATCTCCGATTCGCACTGTTGGCTACGTACGGTGCGAAAGAAGTTGAACACACGCGCAGGCTTCAGATGTGCAAAAATACCGCAAAGGCGAACTGAGGTTCATAATACACTTGTTGACTTTCCTTAAAACCACGTGATGACACCACGCTGTGCTCTCTAATCCCACTTCAAACACGTTCCTTCGGAGTGGGCAGGTAGGAACTTGGTTTGGACAGCGCATTCGTGCACGACAGACAGACAAATAATCCCTGGTGGGCAGTGTGGAAGCTGTTGTTCCTACCTGTATACAAGATAACTTGACTTTAGGGAGCCAGGCAGCCAGTCAGGTAGCCAGCCCCCTTCACTATCGGCCCCTCCCCTTACCCCCCCCCCTCCCTTAGGCCCCTCCCCCCTTAGGCCCCTCCTCTGACCCCCTCCCTCAGGCCCCTCCCCCCTTAGGCCCCTCCCCTGACCACCCCCCCCCCCCCCACATCCTTAGGCCCCTCCCCTGACCCCCTCCCTTAGACACCTCCCCCCTTAGGCCCCTCCCCTGACCACCCCCCCCCCCCACATCCTTAGGCCCCTCCCCTGACCCCCTCCCTTAGACACCTCCCCTTACCCCCCCTCCCTTAGGCCCCTCCCCCCTCAGGCCCCTCCCCTGACCACCCCCCTCAGGCCCCTCCTCTGACCCCCCCCCCTTAGGCCCCTCCCCTGACCCCCCCCTCAGGCCCCTCCTCTGACCCCCCCTCCCTTAGGCCCCTCCCCTCTACCGTACCCGGCAGTAGGTCTCCACCAATCAAAGAGCTGTTTATATTATATATATATTTATGCACGACAGTCAGACAGACAAATAATCCCTGGTGGGCAGTGTGGAACATTGTTCCTACCTGTATACTCCCTGGTGGGCAGTGTGGAACATTGTTCCTACCTGTATACTCCCTGGTGGGCAGTGTGGAACATTGTTCCTACCTGTATAATCCCTGGTGGGCAGTGTGGAACATTGTTCCTACCTGTATACTCCCTGGTGGGCAGTGTGGAACGTTGTTCCTACCTGTATAATCCCTGGTGGGCAGTGTGGAACATTGTTCCTACCTGTATACTCCCTGGTGGGCAGTGTGGAACATTGTTCCTACCTGTATAAACTCACAGCTGACACGACGTTTCAGGCAACGCCCCTCTGATGACACGAGCCCCCCTACTAACACACGTGTGTAAGCGCCCATCACCCTGAATGAATCTAACAAATGCCCTGAGGGCACAGCCACTACTCATTTGAAACACCCGGAACAACTGGTATCTACCCCGGGGGCATTTATCACTTCCGCAGCCCTACACCACCAATCTGAACACGTGCGTTCAGCAGTGATGTGTTTGCTGGGCTTGCCGGCGAATCTCGTCACGATATAAACATTTGGTTTGTTTATACAACAACAGTTAAAGTAATAACAGTAACTATGTCGGACGGCAGCGGCGTGAGAGTCACGTACATTCACAGCGCGCAGTACGTGTTGGCGTGTGATACTCTCTCCAGAATTCCTCGGCGGGTAAAAACAACAACAACCACAACAACATCTGCTATCTCTTTATTTACCATTAACCACGAGCTATTATTACAACGGCTTATTTATGTTGTTTACGTGTGTACGTATATATTCGTATTTTCTTCGCTGGTAGCCTGTGATTAGTAGCCATCGGCGAGAGAGAGAGAGAGATATAGATATACTTGATGTGATATGCCGGGGTGAGACGGATCGATGATGAGGGCCGTGACTTCGATGACCCCCCCCCCCCGGCCTTCAGCTCGTGGACTGTATACGCGGTAACCGACACGATCTCTCTACGGAGACCACGGGCTTAGCGAAACCCGCACGTCATCCAGCAGTGGATTGACCAAGACGGCTCTTGGTGCATTGCGACCGGCCGCGCGAGAGTGACTCGCTGAATCGCTTTGAACTCCACGTGGCGAGGAAACGTTGACTAGCTGGGGCCGCGTTGATGAAGGCCGGCAGAGCTTGGGCAATGCCCCCCAACGGGGAGGCGAACCCACGCGTCTCGCGCTCTGAACGCGACTTGGTGATGATGGTGGTGATGATGATGATGGTGGTGATGATGGTGATGATGATGGTGGTGGTGATGATGATGATGGTGGTGGTGGTGATGATGATGGTGGTGGTGATGATGATGATGGTGGTGATGATGATGATGGTGGTGATGATGGTGGTGGTGATGATGGTGGTGGTGATGATGGTGATGATGATGATGGTGGTGATGATGATGGTGGTGATGATGGTGATGATGGTGGTGATGATGGTGATGATGATGATGATGATGGTGATGATGATGGTGGTGATGATGATGGTGGTGATGATGATGATGATGGTGGTGATGATGATGGGTGATGATGAATGATGATGGTGGTGATGATGGTGATGATGATGATGGGTGGTGATGGTGGTGATGATGGTGGTGATGATGATGATGATGGTGGTGATGATGATGGTGGTGATGATGATGATGGTGATGATGATGGTGGTGATGATGATGGTGGTGATGATGGTGATGATGATGATGGTGGTGGTGATGGTGGTGATGATGGTGGTGATGATGATGATGGTGGTGATGATGATGATGGTGGTGATGATGATGATGGTGGTGATGATGATGGTGGTGATGAGTGCCAGATAAAGCTGGTGTAGCATGATGTTACAAAGGGGCCCTCAATAAAATGAAAAGACATCAATCAAGGTCGTAGCTATGGAGTCAACTTTGTGTTGGGGGGGGGGGGCAAATCTTCCAGGGGGGTTTGGGGGTCCCCCCCCAGAAAAAATATCTAAATTTGAAAACGAATTTCCTGCCTAAAATTAAAAAAAATCACTAGCACATGGGATGGACTTTTTATTTATTTTTTACAATATTGTATTACATTGCTCTGTTTTTTCTTTTTTTATCTTTTCTTGTTTCATTGTACTGTAATGTTTGAGATTTGGGATTAATAAAGGATATCCACAATCATATAAACAGAAATCTATTTCATAGCAATATATTGGGAGGGACATTTTGAGCATATTTGAATATTGGGGGGGGATGTGTCCCCCCAAATATATATTATAATTACGGCCTTGACATAAATATTCAAACTCAGTTTTGTTTACTTGCATAGTAAAGTAATTGTATTTTTTCCATTTTCTATACAGCCGGATATTACGACAAATCGCTAACCTTAAACACCCAGTCGTTCATAAAAGTTGAAGGCAGTATGGTACTATGGTAATAGAGCAAGTGCAGAATCACTGAACCGGAATTGATAGCTTGAAAGCATTTAGCGCGGGGCCCGTAGCATATGTAGTAGCTACTTTAGCTACGAGGATAATCCGGCACTGATGATCATCATCATCACATCCCTGCTGCTGCAGAGATTTGCAGTGCACCTGTGGGAATCTTGAAATGTGGTGCAGAGCTTTGCAAAGTGTTTTTTTTTGCTCTCCCTTGCAATGCTTGCCAGCTTTTGCCGGTTCCCTACCTCCAGATTATCACGGTTGAATATGTACGGTGGGAAAGAACTCAGCTTATTTGATTTTAACACGCGCCCTATCATCCTCGCCTCTGCTATCGCCATGGCACTCTCTTACCTCTCATCTCACCCTCGTCCCTTCCACGCACTCTCCTACCTCTCCCCTCTCATCTCTCTCTACTCCCCTCCACGCACTCTCCTACCTCTCATCTCACTCTACTCCCCTCCACGCACTCTCCTGCCTCTCCCCTCTCATCTCACTCTACTCCCCTCCACGCACTTTAATACCTCTCCCCTCTCATCTTACTCCACGCACTCTCCTGCCTCTCCCCTCTCATCCCTCTCCACTGCCCTCCACGAACTCTCCTGCCTCTCCCCTCTCATCTCACTCCACTCCCCTCCACGCACTCTCCTCCCCCTCCTCTCTCATCTCACTCCACTCCCCTCCACGCACTCTCCTACCTCTCCCCTCTCATCTCACTCCACTCCCCTCCACGCACTCTCCTACCTCTACCCCTCTCATCTCACTCTACTCCCCTCCACGCACTATCCTACCTCTCCCCTCTCATCTCACTCTACTCCCCTCCACGCACTTTCCTGCCTCTCCCCTCTCATCCCTCTCCACTCCCCTCCACGCACTTTCCTCCCTCTCCTCTCTCATCTCACTCCACTCCCCTCCACGCACTCTCCTACCTCTCCCCTCTCATCTCACTCCACTCCCCTCCACGCACTCTCCGCCTCTCCCCTCGCATCTCACTCCACTCCCCTCCACGCACTCTCCTACCTCTACCCCTCTCATCTCACTCTACTCCCCTCCACGCACTCTCCTCCCTCTCCTCTCTCATCTCACTCCACTCCCCTCCACGCACTCTCCTACCTCTCCTCTCTCATCTCACTCCACTCCCCTCCACGCACTTTCCTGCCTCTCCCCTCTCCTCCCTCTCCACTCCCCTCCATGCACTTTCCTCCCTCTCCTCTCTCATCTCACTCCACTCCCCTCCACGCACTCTCCTACCTCTCCCCTCTCATCTCACTCCACTCCCCTCCACGCACTCTCCTACCTCTACCCCTCTCATCTCACTCTACTCCCCTCCACGCACTCTCCTACCTCTCCCCTCTCATCTCACTCCACTCCCCTCCACGCACTCTCCTACCTCTACCCCTCTCATCTCACTCCACTCCCCTCCACGCACTCTCCTCCCTCTCCTCTCTCATCTCACTCCACTCCCCTCCACGCACTCTCCTACCTCTCCTCTCTCATCTCACTCCACTCCCCTCCACGCACTTTCCTGCCTCTCCCCTCTCATCCCTCTCCACTCCCCTCCACGCACTTTCCTCCCTCTCCTCTCTCATCTCACTCCACTCCCCTCCACGCACTCTCCTACCTCTCCCCTCTCATCTCACTCTACTCCCCTCCACGCACTCTCCTATCTCTCCCCTCTCATGTCACTCCACTCTCCTCCACGCAGTCTCCTACCTCTCCCCTCTCATCTCACTCCACTCCCCTCCACGCACTCTCCTACCTCTCCTCTCTCATCTCACTCCACTCCCCTCCACGCACTCTCCTACCTCTCCTCTCTCATCTCACTCCACTCCCCTCCACGCAGTCTCCTACCTCTCCCCTCTCATCTCACTCTACTCCCCTCCACACACTCTCCTACCTCTCCTCTCATCTCACTCCACTCCCCTCCACGCACTCTCCTACCTCTCCCCTCTCATCTCACTCTGCTCCCCACCACGCACTCTCCTACTTCTCCTCTCTTATGTCACTCCACTCCACTCTCCTCCACGCAGTCTCCTACCTCTCCCCTCTCATCTCTTTCTACTCCCCTCGTCTGTGCGAGGTCACTCATCATTCTCATCAGTCTCCTCTGCTGCCGGCTTGGTCTGGACGTGCCTTGCCCAGACATCCGTGCTGTCAACTGCCTGCCACTTCATGTCCAAACTCAAGACGTTCCACTTCTAGCTCTCACCGTTTCATCTGTACCATCTGTACATTACATCAATGAGTTCTCAACTAAACTATTTGTTTTATTTTACCAGGTAAAGCCAACAGCTATGTAACCCTTTTTCAAAAGCCAACTGGCCAAAAGTGATGGTTCAACGAAGTGGCTTATCACGTGCAATTGTATAGCAGCCAAATACTCCATCTTCTTGGTTCTTTCGGTAAAGTCACGTAGAAGGAAAATAATAAATAAAAATAAAACATAATTAAATAATTCTCACGACGTTTCGGCCACAACGCAAGCAGCCGTCTTCAGGTGGAGAACAGGTCTGTCGAGAAGGCAGAGTCTGAATGAAGATGAATCCCTGCAGTCACGAAAGCTTTAAATCGAAATTCAGCCAAATACTCTTAACGCCCGATGTTGATTCTAAATGCAACGCTCATTTCTACGGTGACAATCTAATATGTTTGGCTGCTTTGGGTGGTTGGAGTGTCTTAACGGCACAAATTTGGCCAGATGATTGCGTGAACCAACTAATCGCAACCCCAAAAAACCAACTATGACTGGCGACACATTGTCCAGCGAAAATCCACGTGTAGAGATGATGGTTCTGTCGGCTGAATTAATGAATTAATGACAATACGCGCAACTGGATTCGGTGCCAGGGCCTAACAACAATACAACCGTCTTCTTGGTTCTTTCGGTAAAGTCACGTAGAATGGAAACAATAAAAATAATAAAATAAAACATAATAAAATATGTTTTATTTTATTATTTTTATGAACATAATAAAATATGTTTTATTTTAGTATTTTTATTGTTTCCATTCTACGTGACTTTACCTAAAGAACCAAGAAGATGAATCCCTGCAGTCACGAAAGCTTTAAATCGAAATTTAACAATGCAACCGGTTGGAGCAGTCTCTCTTATCATTGTCCTAGCCTGCCACCTGGTGTCCAGTAGGAGAAATACGGAACGCGCGCGCACAATCAGAACGTGAAACCAACGGAGCTCGGCTTCTCAGCCAAACGTCACGGGGATCATGTCACCCGTGGCTGATTTGTCACCCACGAGCGCAGTTTGGGAAGCGGGGGGGAGGGCACCCCCCCCTCTCTCTCCCAAACTGGACACCTGAATTAATTTATGTTCAGTAGTTTACAATTAATAGAATTTTTTGACTTAAACCTTTCGTGACTGCAGGAATTCATATTCTTGCTTCTTTCGGTAAAGTCACATAGATAGAAAACAAAAAAATGTGTAAAATAATACAATAATAATAAATTAATTAAAAATAATAAAAGCAAAAACCACGATAAAAAATAATTTAAAATAAAAATTGTAAATCAAAACATTTTCTTTATTAATATTATTTTTTCTATCTACGTGACTTTACCGAAATAACCAATAATACAATTAATATTATTAAAAAAATTATATACACCCGTTTTCTTGCGTGCTGCTGTGGTTCTCTGTTATGAGCCTGTTTTAGTTCCGCCTGTAACGAGGAGTGGGTGGTGCGGTGTCGTGTGTTCCCACAGGCGAGCATGGTGCACACACTCATAGAATCGTACGGCCTGCTAAAGTACATGCGGTAAGAGGAGGAGTCACGTGATGCGCTCGATATAAAGTGTATTTGCGATATGTACGAGACGCTTTGGAAAGTAAAACTCAAGCGAAATGTGTGCCCGGTGTCAATCGAGTTACAGAAATGTGGTCCCACACACAAACACACTAAGACACGCGCTAACACACACATTAACACACACATTGCGTTGTATGTATGTATATAGAACTTCTTTCGCACGGTACGTAGCCAACCTTACTAATCGGAGGTGCGAGAATTAATAGCGTTAATAGAGCCGATTAAGATTGAGATCTCGGTGTGCGTGTGCGTGATGCAGACAGCGTTAATTGCTTTCGCGCATCCCGTGGAAAGTGCTTAACAATCATCAGTCGCGTGCAGCGTGGAATAAGTTAAATTGTATTTGAATGGGGAGTCAATTGTTAAACACGGAGAGAATAAAATAAGACCATCCCTGTACGATTCCATGGTTGGAAATGTACCAAACGTCGTAAGATGCGAAAAGTGCAAATTTGCTACAAACAAAGTGGATTGACGAATTGTTTTAATGAAAAAGAAAAGCATTGGGGTTCGGGGGCTATTCCTCCACAGCCCATAATGTCCAGCTCCGAATCATTCGTTAATTTGGTGTCACGCCAACATTTTTTTTGCACCCTCGTTTAAACGCGTGCCTGTGCGAAGTTCATCGGATCTATTTAATCTCACGGCCATCCCGTAATTATTCTGGATGGAGCAGGTTTACGTAATCGGTGAGAATGCCGTCTTAGGACGGGAGGTCGCCGCCCAAAGCTCTAACGATGCGTGAAACTTAATTTCTTCATGTGTGGACGTCTCTGCAACCTGTTGCAAGCGGTTGCGTGGCCGCTTGCTCACGGTAGAGACTCGGACTCCACTTTCAAGCGATCTGCTCGGCGACTTGGAGCAACTTGTTTCATCACCATGTGACACATTTGCGAACCTGTAATTGGCTGTTACGATCCTCAACACTCATTACATTTTTGTGTCGCGTAACTACTCGCTCATATCCGGACAAAGTAGCTGCATTCGGATTAAGTCGCGATTTGGTCGAGCAACTGATTGCTCATGAGTTGACCTGGCTTAAAGGTTACCTTTGCAATTTAACTTATTTTGCTTTATAGAAGACCAGGTAATGTCAGTTTTTGTACCAGTTGAAAGGGTAAAAACCTACTACTATATTTTGCCACTGGTAAAGGAGGTCTCATAGTGTAAATGCTCATCCCGAGCTCTCAATACTCTGATAGTGCACTGTTTTTGAGTTGTAAGCCTTTCGGCGTCATCTGGTCCAACACCAATGGAAACTAGGCTCTAAGAAAAGCTGTCTCGGGTGTGGACCAATCAACTTCAAGGACAGTGCATATCATTATCATCATCATCAGAGTTGTTTATTTTTGTTTGCATTTTGACTGCTTGTGTTGTGGTTATTGCAAACATGATGCCTTGTATAAAGGTGTCAGTTTCTGTACCAGTTGAAAGGGTAAAATCCTACTACTAGGTAATGTCTCATTGGCTTTTGACCAAATCACCCGGAACACGTCCGATCTAGTCAGATCTCGGATGCAAAGCAGGGTTGAGCCTTAATAGTGCCTAGGGAGGGGTGCCACAGTGGCCAGATGTTGTCTCCCTCGGCTGGTATGCAGAAGGCCGTGGATTCCATCCTGACCCCTTTTTTCTCTGGGGTCCTCTGGTTTTCCCTCCACATTTATAAACACGTGTTCAGAGTATTTGGCAGATAAGCCGCTTCGTCGAACTATCAATTGTGGCCAGGTATTCATCTTCTTGGTTCTTTCGGTAAAGTCACATAGAAGGGAAATAATAAAATAATAAAAATAAAACATCAAAAAATAATATTTTATTATATTATAATATTATGTTATTATATTACTTTATTGTATTATTTTTTTATTAATTTTTTATTTCCCTTCTACGTGACTTTACCGAAAGAACCAAGAAGATGAATCCCTGCAGTCACGAAAGCTTCAAATCTAAATGTGGCCAGGTAGCTTCTGAACTCGAGCGATATAGCTCAGTGGACCTTACCTGGTCAAATGAATAAAAAATTGTAATACGTAATATTGTGGATGATATTGGTCGCGAAAGCCTACGCGTTGAACCAAATTTGTAATAGTTTAGTTTAGAAACATGTGCAGTAGGCCTTGTGGGCAGTAGAGGGCAGTGCAGCATAATTCATTGTTGTTCTGCACTCCCAACTTTGCTAACCTACACTGACCAGCGTGGTGAAGTATGGCGAATTGTTTTTCATAACCCGGAAGGTGTAGGGAAGGCCCTTATCTAGCAGTGGATTGGTCATGGCGGATGATGATGATGATGATGATGCAGAGCCCATTGAGACCAGAAGTCTTTCAATTGAGGTCTGAGTAAAATACAGACACCATTACAGCAGAGCTGTCGGTACAAAGTTAAACAGATTTTATAATTATTGTTAAACTTATTTACCCAGGAAAGCCTCATGACTCGTTTTCAGGAGGGTCCCGCCAAGGTTCTGCAGGAGGAGGCGACGTATAAACCCAATTGACATAATTTCAGCGGAACATTTTTCTAATTGTCACCATGACCTCGGCACACAATGACCCACTCTTGCGAACGACATGCGGTATTAACCGGGGTGGCCGCTTGATTCGAACCGCGAACCACTGCTACGGACCGCGAACCACTGCTACGGACCGCGAACCCCGGCCTCGTCACTGCCTGTTGAAACGCCGTAGCAGCAAGCAGCTTCCAGTTGTGGTCTTGGGGTCGTGTGGAGGTGCCCGTGCCAATCCGTGACTCCTCACCAAAGTTGAAATGTGAAGAAGAAGCAACTTAAATGTGTTGCCAGGTTAGGTGCCATGGCTGTGGGGGGCTTTGGTGAGGGGTTAGGGTCAGGGCTAGGTTATGGTTCGCTAGTCAGGGCACCACGGTGGTGAGATTCCTCGAGTATAAATCATTATTGAGATTCTGATTCTGAGATGTTAACTACCTCGCCTGGTATACAGGATGTCGTGGGTTCGATCCCGACCCTGACGCCTGCTGTTGTATATTTGGAGTTTGCGTCTCTTTCTCTCTCTTAGCCATGGTGAGATGTTAACTACCTCGCCTGGTATACAGGATGTCGTGGGTTCGATCCCGACCCTGACGCCTGTATATTTGGAGTGTGCATGTCTCTCTCCCCGTGGTCACGTGGATTTTTCACCGGGTCCTCCGGTTTTCCCCACCACATTTAGAATCAACATCACGCGTTTAGAGTATTTGGCGGCTCTACATTTCCACATAATGATAAGCCACTTCCGTTGAGCTATCATTTGTTTGCCAGGTCACTTCTGATAAAAGAGCTACATAGCTCAGTGGGCCTTACCCTGATAGAATAAGAATAGTTTCGTTTAATTTTCGATTTAAAGCTTTCGTGACTGCAGGGATTCATCTTCTTGGTTCTTTCGGTAAAGTCACGTAGAAGTGAAATAATAAAATAATAAAAATAAAACATTATAAAATAATTCTCACGACGTTTCAGCCACAACGCAAGCAGCCATCCTCAGGTGAAGACCAGGGCTGTCGGGGAGACAGACCTGGGGACGGCTGCTTGCGTTGTGGCTGAAACGTCGTGATAATTATTTTATTATGTTTTATTTTTATTATTTCCCTTCTACGTGACTTTACCGAAATAACCAAGAAGATAGTTTAGTTTAGTTTCGTCTGCTGCAGCGCCTAACAATTTTCACATCCCCCCTCGTCGTCGCAAAGCTTGACTCAAGTCTTGCTTTGTTTACGCTTCTCTCTTGCCGTGTTACAGTCAAGTGTGTGGCAATGGGGGCCCGGCTTAGAGAACACGTAATGCATTCCATGGCTATAATCACCTTCAAGCCAAGTTATGCTTTGGGGGAAGAAAAAAAACGTTGAGCTGGCATGCGCTTCCAAGCGAGCACAGTTTGTACGCGAACAATGATATACGCGTGCAATTGTTGTACGCGTGTGATAATCGATTGCTTTCAATCTTTTCGGCGGTCTGAGCACATTGCGTCCTGTGTATAACGACGAAGCTGCCGCCTGGCTCGAGTTCGAACGCACGCGCTGAACACAATCTGTGTCTGTTCTCCCGGCTCTAAAATGATTTAATGTTTGGTGGGCAGGGCAGGGCACGAAAGGGGAGAGGCTGATTTTGCCTAGACCAGAAGAAGTCAATCCTCATTTATCAAAGGTTCCCGAAGCGCCGAGTGCTTGACCCTGCGCAAACTAATTTTACAAACTGACAAAAGCGTCGCTGACCTCTGACTCCCTGCGTCTGACCGTTCGTTTGATCTTCTTAATTGCTGGAACAGCAGCGGAAGTTCAGGGCCTCTTTGCAAAGAAAAGCAAATACTGCTGCAAGGAGTCGGATGATGTGCACTTGAAGATGGGCGACTCTCCATGATTCCCAGGCTTTGCTAGCATGAACAAGCGTAGCAGTGGCCGTAGTAATAATACTAACTGCAGTCTGTTCTCATGTAGTAGTTGCGTTCGCCGAAGAGCACCGCGTTATGGGAAAATCGCGTTATAATATCGGGTGAAAAGCACAGTCCGCGAGAACGCGTGAAGACCGAGGCGCGTGGCGTAGCATCGAGAAGCATCCAGCAGCATCCCAATGCCTTGTGCGACGACGCTACGCCGAGGCGGCCGTACAACCGCTCGTTCATGTTCACGCGACGGTAGTCGATTGCGTTGCACATCCCATTCGCGCACTCGCGTTACGTTAAAAAAAAAAACGAAAAATGCGCTCCCCTAATCGCGTTCCGCAGCGTCGTACATCCGATTCGCACGATGCAAACAACGCGCGCTGCGGGCGAGCGGACCACGCGCGTCACCACTTGCTGCGCCCCCCGTCGCGTCCCCAGCGTGGTGGAACCCAGCGCCCCGAGCCGGCAGGAGCTCGCCGCGTTCCACTCGGACGACTACCTGGAGCACCTGGAGCAAGTGAGCCGGGACGGGGACGACGACCACCCCGAGTCGCAGCTCTACGGCCTCGGTGCGTCCGCGCGCGTGCACACAACAACAACAACAACGAGCCGCCATTCGCCACCGAGTGGCGGTGACGTCACCGCGGCGCTTGTGCCAGGCTGTCTGCACTTTCAAGGCCACGTGAAGTGTCCAACGCCCGCTGGCAGGAGGTCACGGAACAGGTGCCATGGGTATAGTAATTAGGTTCAGTTAAATAACACACATTACAACTAATTACTAATCTACAACTCATTACTAATCATAACAATTGACTGATTACTAATCTATTATATAATTACAATACCCCCCCAACCGCCTCAAATCACTGCACCCGAATGAGTACAATGATGACGTCACCCTGCTGCTGCTCTATTTAAGACCGGGAGCAAGTGGAGGGCTTCGCCATTCTGGCAAATTGCCCGATATTGCTGGATGTAATTACCAGCGAAACGTCGTACTCAAAAATTGTAAATGTTGTGGATTCACTCTTCAAAGCACCGGTGGGCTAAAGCAGTGAACTATTTGTCTTTTGTCAACGTGACACTTTTTTTTTTGCTGATTGGCCGTGTCGGGTGGTGGAGGGTTACGACACATTTATAAATAACGCGATCTAAACCCAAAAACGTTAATTATGAATACTATTGGTCGCGAAAGCCTACGTGTTAAACTGAGATGCCATGGGTTGACTGAAACACGCCACGGTGGTGAGATGTCAACTACCTCACCTGGTATACAGGAGGTCATAGGTTTAATTTTGACCATGACACCTGTAGTGTTGTAATTTGCGTGTCTCTCCCTGTGGTCGCGTGGATTTTTCTCCGGGTCCTCTGGTTTTTCCCTCCACATTTAGAATCAACGTACGTTTAGAGTATTTGGCTGCTATCAATTTCCACGTGATAAGCCACTTTTTTGGGGATTCATTTGTGGGTAAGTCCCATCTGAAAGAAAGCTACGTAAGTCAGTGGGCCTTCGCTGGGAAAAAAACATATTTATTTAATAGTCCACACGTGTACGGCAAAGATGTGTGTGTGTTGAACTTTTGCACCGTACGTAGCCAACCGTGATAATCGGAGGTTAGCGAGCAGCGCCTGTGAAGGCTGGCACTGCGCCTGAGGGCGTGGTGGTGTCCGGCAAGGCACACGACAGGGGATAGCACGGCCAGCACCTTCCCAATGCTGACGTTTACACACCGCGCCAGGTGCCCATTTAAGGCTGAGTCGGCGTAGGGGAGGCCTCGGACCGGTTTTCAGGAATTCATCACTCGTGTTGGCCGTGAGTGGGAAATGAACTTGGATTGCCGAGTTCGTAGCGCAGTGCGCTAACCCTTACAATAGCACTACCCGTACACGCGCATACACACGTACAGAATTAGGGCATTGCGTGCAGATGCTGGGTACGCGTTGATTCACCCGAGCAAAGATTTTTGATGAATTCCAACGATGCAAGGTGGCGAGTTAGACTCAAGAATATATATTTTGTCGAAAGATTTACCGTCTCGTTTTCTGCTATTTCTGTTTTGTTCTGTCTCAATTGTCCTGTTTTCGTATCCTGTTTAGCCTACTCTGACTTACTAATAATAGTAATTATCAGAATAATAAGTTTGTTAAGAAAACAATGGAAATGATAACATTCACCTTTGTATTTAAGAGAAGTGCGGCCGCTGCACGTGGCTTAATTCAGAACAGAATGTATTTTAGGATTCTAAGCATTTAGTGCCGACAAGCATAGAGGCTCCAACAGCCGAAATAAAGCCGCATTCATGAGTGATTCAGCACTCTTTGCCTTGTTTTTCATTTCCCTTTTTTTATTTACGGCTGTACCAAGAGTACTCCCTGAGATTGCCCCGCTCACGAAAGGCGTTTTTTTTTATTATCAAAATACGATGAAACGATTGTTCATCGCGTTGCTTTATGCCTGGCCGTAAAAAACCTCAAGGGACGTGGCAGCACCGCTACCTCCCCCCCCCCCGCCCCCTTCAACAGCGGAGGCCGCGTCCCCCGGCACGAGTGGTCACGACACGGCCGCCGTGATCGTGATTTTTACGGGTCGTTGCGACAAATTTTAGAACGCGACGGGGAGGGGAGCGAAGTCGTCTTCTTCTTCTTGACTCGCTTGCAGATTGAAAACTCATCTCGTCTCCGATGAGCACGGTTGGCTATGTATGGTGCGAAAGAAGTTCAACGTGCACAAATACGTACACGCCTTTATTGGATCCAGATCCACGCTCGCCACCGTTCCAACAAGCACCCGCCCGTTGCCCCCCCCCCCCCTCTTCCCCCCCCCCCGAGCCCCCGTCTCGGTGCGCATAAATTGCACGTAATTGTTAAAACAAATTCCTGCGTCTGCATCCCATCGCAAATTCCTCGCACGTATCCTCAAAGTCTCGCGCGTTCGCCCAGAGCCCGAGGTGGAGGCCGTAAAAGTTGACGCATGGGGGGGGGTGGGTACGTGGGGGGGGGGGACCACGGCAGTGCGCGTGGCCCTCGAAGGGCGTCGCGGCCTCGCTCAGCCTCGCTCGACGCCGACTCGCGCCTCCGACCTTTTTATTTAATTCCTCGCAGCAACAAAACGTGATTTAGCGCTCCGCACCGACCCGCCGACCGACCGACCGACGGCCGTAATTTCGCGACGACGAGGGCGCGAACGCAAAATTGTCCGAGAGGCAACGGGCCGAGGTCGCGGGTCAGAAGTGCCGCTTGACGCGAGCCGTCGCCACTGATGAGATGCGAGAAACAAAACAAACAACCGCCAGCACGTGTCGTCAAAGTGATTTCTCGCTCAGAATGAGCGCTGAGGGTCGGTGCTCGTATCGGTTTAACAGCCCTGAGCCGGTGGTGGCAAATTCCACGTTCCGATGGTGGATTCTTCTTCACCCGATCGATTTGCTCTGCAAATAATATAATAGGATTTTGGGTTTCCTAGGGCCACGTTCAAGGAGGAAATATTCACGATTATGTGACACAGCAGGACCGTCGTAGAGTGACCTTCATCAAGCAGAGGAATGACCGTGGCAAACGATGATGATGATGAGGAGGAGGAATTAAAATCAGATGCGGTACGGTGGTGCTGTGGGAGAGGGCTTGACTCGCAAGGTTGCAAGTTCAAGTTCCAGTCGGGAATCGACTCCGCGGCCCATGTTATCTCTGTGGTCAGTAAAATTTTAATTGGTACCATTTTGTGGAATTTCTCCAGTGGTTGAAACATAAATGCACTCGCCACTTCCATAGAAATATTGAATCTCCACTGCAGGCTTGGAGCCGTTCATCACGGACACGCGTAGGAATGAAAATCCAATGCTTTGTATAAATTATGAGAAACGCCTTGGAGAATGCATGCAGGTGGGAAGCAAATAGATTTCACAGCACACAACAGTGCGCTGATCACAAACAGCAGGATGGCACGACTCCCATCCACACGCCTTAGCACGCATTCCATTTCACGACATCATTGCATGCGTGAGCACGTTGACGAACGACTCAATAAAGATCTCCGAAGATTCCAATCGCTTGTGCTGGAACTTCTCTTCATTTGGTGGCAGCGGTGCGGTTCATCATCGTCGTCATCGTCGTCATCATCACTGTCATGCCGCATCAACAGAAGAACCGCCGTTCATCGGGACGAACCAGCAGGAGCCGAGAACGCAGTCCTCTTCAGCAAGCCGCAAGAGTTCGTCCCGGCCAGAGACAAGACTCGCTGGCCATCAAACCATGTCGCGCGCTTTTAGATGTGCTTCTGCGGCCGTCTGGAACGCTCTTCCTTACGATATATATTCGGTTGAAAACCCATTTATTTAAAACTGCTCTTTGTATTTAGTTTGTTGTCCCCCCCCCCTCCCCACACCTCTGATTAGCATCGTTCGCTACGTACGGCGCGAAAGAAGTTCAGCGTACAGTACGTACAAAGCAGCGCGTGCAAGCAAGCGGCGGTGACGACCGCTCACCGGATCGCTGCAGGTGGTTTGTCGAGACGGTGCCGCGCAGCCCCCCCCCGCCCCTCCTTGCCGCCTTTGTCCGGACGTCAACCACAGAGCGTCGGCGGCAGTTGTCGTCGTCACGGCAGCGGCGGTCGTCGTCGCGGCCCCGGCACTCGTCCCGAAGCGAGGTGGGGCCTACCGACGCAGCCCTCCTTCCTGCCGCCCAAATTTAAGGGGGGGGGGCCCGTGCCGGAACGACAACGACGAGCTAGCGGCACGGCTGCAATGAGAGCGCAAACCGACGACCCCCCCCCCCCCCCCCAACTCGTCCCAATTGAAGAGTGACGGGAAACGGGGGACGTCGTGTGATGCCGAATCAGAATATTTATCCTGCAGAAATCCGACGAGCCGCGAAGCTCTTTTTCACAGCTGTACTCGGCGGTGGGAGGCGATTGGGAGGCCTTCCGGAGCTGCGTGCCGGGGCCTCGGATTGGACGGAATTGGAGGCACTGAAGGTGCTGCCAATGGCGTCGGGCCGACGAGGCGCTTGGTGGCGGCCTCCGCCATTCCTGCGGAGAGTCGGGCCGCTCTGCGTGCCTCATGCCCAAGCGACGGGCAAAATGTACGACCCTCCTGTCGGGCGCCGCTCAGCGCTGCCGGAACCGCCAAAAGATGTTCGGAAAGTCGGACGGTTGGCAGCGCGGTGAGCGAGGAAGGCTCCGATCGGTCGAGCGTAAACGGCACGTGGAAGTGTGGTGCTTCCGATATTGAAAAATGCGTGTGGTCTTTGGCGGGGAGAACGGTTGTGTGACGACGTTCAAGCTTTAGTGTACAAGACGTGGCCAAACATAGCCCCTGAGCTTTGCTTGGCCCAACTCCCTACACGTAGTTCATCTCTGTCAAGACTCTACTCTGGAGACTCTGCTTGTGTGTGTGTGTCTCTTCGTACGTGTGCCGCTGCCTGTTGGGATGGCCGCATTTTCAACGCTTTGAGTCGACGCCCGTAACACGGCCGCCAACAGACAACAATTCGGCCGCAGGTTCAGCCCTTTTCGGAGCTCTGGTGGGTTAGGCAAGGCGGTCACATGACATGCACGCGAGGGACGATGGGAGTC